TCTGCCTTCTTTTGTTACCATTATTTTACCAACTAAACAGACCAAATATAATACCAAAGGCTCATGAAGGCATGAATCCAGCTTGTGGAAACCTGCTTTTAATTTAGGATTATGGGGCCAGTTTCTTAGAAATTGCCACATTCTAAACAAAATAGATTTTTCTTCTTTATGTCGTGAGAGAGTTGATCTAATTAGAATCGGTTTAATCTAATAATGAGTCATTTTAGCACAGTCTTCAAGATGAATATTTGAGTCCCCAATCCAAACTTAATCATTAGATGTGTATTTTTGCTAGTCCAAATGAAAAATTAAATCACTGGCTTCCCTTAAAAACTTTCTCCACTCTCACAGAGATGTGCTAGAAGGCATGAAGATAGAAAGATAAAAGAAAATTCCACTGGCCACCGCACAGGCCATGATGAATTACTTTTCCTTTTAAGGAGAAGAGAAAGAAGAAAGATACCAGGAGTCTGGGGAGACCTCTGTGAACATCAGCTGTGGAGGGCGCTCGATCCAAGCCTAGTGAGGGAAGGAGAACTTGCTGAGTGCAGGGGACCTTGAGCTTTGGAAATACAGAGCAGAAAAGCGAGAGTGAGCCAGCCTGAGAATTCTGCTAGACACAGAGGGGCCTGAGACTGACTAAATGAATGAATGGCTGTCACCAGTGCTGACCCAGGGCCCTGACTGGCTGTTGGACTCAGTTCCTGTGGAATCTTCAAGCCACGAGAGGAAACTGCTTGCTGATGCCCGAAAAGCAGTTGATGGGGAGACTGGATCTGCCTCCCAGTGGGGTTCCCTGGGGAATGAAGCGAACAGTGATTTTGTATTAAACACTGTTGTCTTTAGCAGGTCCGGGAAGTCTGTTATATTTGACTGGTTTCCAATGCAATTTAAAAGCTCGACTCAGTCCTTCACATAGTACGGAACGGAAGACAGTGTTGGGATGGGTAGAGAAATCTCAGTGAACTACAGGAAAGTTTCCATTTCAGAACTACATAAATGACTCATACATGCCCTAATCCCTGCAGGCAGGACCATAGCTGAGGAGCTCAGGCTTGTTCTGTGCTTATTCAGAGCAAAGCACAATCCTGGCAGTTTTAATATCGCAGGGAAGAGGAGACCAAGGCTTGGCCGAAAGAATCAGTAACTCAGACAGACCTTGAAAGATGCACGTTGCTCTGAGGTGCTCAGAACAACCGGGAGCTACACACTTCCCTCTCCAAATGCAAACCTCCGCCTCGTCTCTGAGCGTTTTCCCCGAGTCTGAAACACACCCTCTTGCCTGAGTAGAATGACACTGTTGATAGATTCTAGAAGAATTGTGAAGATAACTGTATTTCAGGATCTCCCTAGATTTAACTGGAGAAACCACCACCATTACAAAATCATGGAACCGGTGTGCTGTCCCAGAAACATTAGCACCGCTGCTAAATCTTTCCTCCACCGCAGTGGCGTTGACTGTGCTTATGGAAACTCTATTTTAATGACATTCATCTTCTTAGAGCTTTTGAATAATTTCATCAAGATAAAAGCTAACTAGCATGTGGAATATATACATCCTGCACCACATATTTACATGGGCCTATGTGCAGAGACATGCAAACCAGGAAAGAAAGCGGCTATGCTGGCCTCTAAGACACAGCGGGGTCCGGGGAGAAATGCAATCAGCATTGCGATGAGTACATCAAGCTGCTTGGTGCTTCTCTGCCATGCCTGCGGGCAGAGGAGAGTGGCGTGTTCAATTGGACACGCAGGAAGAATGTGGGAGCAGGGAAAAAAGAAAGAAATGAAGCCTTCTCTTTCTCTGTTTGAACTCTGTAATATAATTTCTGAACATTGTTCTTTTGAAGTCTGACAATAGGAGGAAAATTCCTTGAGGACTGTGAGACCCTGGAATGCATTCCAGAGGGGGCAAAGAATGTCCTTAAAGCAGTCCTAGCATGAGGGTAGATGGCAGCCCCCGAGAATGCCTTCCACTCTCTAACACCAGCCTCCCACCAGCGTGAAGCTTCATGCTGCCTGCCCAGCATGGCAGAATCACGCAGAAACGAGCGTGGCCCTGCTGCTCCCCAGCGCTCCATGCCACCTTAGCCGCAGTGACACTGGGCATTCTGCCTCATCCCCTTCCAACACAAGCATCCACAGGAGGCTGAAGGTCCCTACTGCTTGGGGATTCTGTGCGCCGCTCCCTGGCCATGGTGTAGGAGGAGGACCACTCTCCCCCTTGGGGCACTGGGGAGAAGGCGCAGGGCTGGACCTGATACCCAGTCTCTATCCTAGCGCTTGTGCTAAAGACCCAGGAAATGGCTCTGTCCTGGAGTCAAAACTCCCCTGTGACAGTGAAGACAAGCTCTGGGCTGGGACACACTGTCTGTCCTTTCCTTCCTGTCGTGTTGTCGTGGCCTCCCAGTTTGGGGGAACCAAGGCCTGTGAGTTGGAGCACCCTTGGCTTCTGACCACATCCATACCAGGCTGGCTTCCAGAAACAAAAAACAGGGCTTGTTCTTTTGGTTCAGAGTTGCACACCTCTAATCTTGGAGCTGGACCCCGGCCTTTCTCTTTCCAGATTTTCCATTCCTCCTTTTCTTTCTCTTTCCAACTTCCCAAGTTTCTCACAGCCTATAACACTTTTCAAACAGTTCCCATCTAATTCTCTAAAATTGGTAAATTCCTCAAAGTCCCTGCTTTTTTTTGTGGCCATCCCCACTCACCTGAACTGTGTGGGAGTGCGGCTCAGCACTTCCTGTCTTCCCTCCTCAAGCCACCACTCGCTACTCACCTTCTCCTGTCCCCAGGGATAACACTTCCCAAGAGCATTAGTGGTTCCTCATAGTGAGTCCTCATATTACGGAGTATCTGCCTCATTTGATACTGTGGACTGGTCCCTGCTCTGGAAGTGCTTTTTGTGGCCCCTTATCGAGCCCTGCATATTTTCATATTTTATTACTCAGTCTCTCCTTCTCCTCCTCCTCCTCCTCCTCCTCCTCCTCCTCCTCCTTCTTCTTTTTCCTCTTCTTCCTCTTCTTCTTTTTCTTCCTCTTCGTCTTCTTCTTCCTCTTCTTCTTTTTCCTCTTCTTCTTCCTCTTCCTTCTCCTCTTCCTCTTCCTCTGTCTCCTCCTCTCTGGGTTCCCTTCTCCACTAGCCCTTTGCATAGGATTTGCTGCTTAGTTCTATCTTCAGTCTATTCTCTCAGCTGAGCTTCCCAAATTTCATAGTTTGGGGATTCATTACCACACAAAGGTAGGAAATTCCGTAGTTCATCACGCCTCCTGAGCTTCAGACTCGTACATACACACCTGCCCTGCAGTATCTTCATTTCAGCTGATTAGCAGCCAGGGCTGGTGCATCCAGCCCTCCCTGTTGGGCTCCGTCTATGCGTCTGTCTCAAGTGCTGACACATCTCTGGTTACATTACCTGGCTGCAGGTGAGTTCTGCTCTTGCCCTACTCACTTTGTGCTCCCACATCGCTACCCAGCCACCAAGAGCTTTGGCTCAGCTCCTCTACGGATCTCAAATCTGGGTCCTCTCTTAAGGTTCTGTCCCCTAGCTGAGATACGTGTAAGCTCCTAGGAGGATTTGGGCAACAAGCTTAATGTGCATCTTCCTGCAAACCAGTTTCTCCTCACACCCACCACAGGGCAGCGCTGGAGGGGCGAGTCCTAAACTCTGACCAGCCTGTCTCTGCCTGTCACTACAAGGTAAGGCTCAAACTTTCAGCCAGTTAAGTTATACTTTAAGGAGATACAGAAAAGGATTTCCAATGATGCAAAGCCAGAAGGAGCAGTTGTGGGGAAGGCTGGTACCCATGCAGTCAGAGCCGATGGCTCAGCACATGTCTCCCCATAATTATAATGCAGTTACCACATGCATAATTGCCCATCTTCCCAGCTAGACTGTCTTGTGAAAGGAGATTGTCCCCAGAGTTCTGCACACTGCCTGGTCTACAAAGAGAACTTAACAACTGTTTGTTGACGTGTGCAGAGATGCTTTCCTGAACTTGCCATAGACTTCTGGGGTTTGCACTTAGGAATCTGAAGAGAGAGAAACACACATGGCAGGAGGTAAAGGGATCAAGGGCATCTATAAAGGGAAGCAACAATGGGCAGAGCGTGCCTGGCACCAGGCGGCCTGATTCCAGGAATAGAGATGTCTCTAAGTCACAGGATGGTCTCTACTACAGCAAACACAGCAATGATTGAGATGTAAAAGGAAAAAAAGTGGTTAAAAACACTGAAATGATTTCAGACTGACTCTTAGCCCATCCGATGAGGACAGAATGTACACCGGAACTCCATGTTTCTGTCACTGAGAGAGCAGACTGTCACCACTGAGGGCTTGCCGTGATAAATCCAGGGTGTGGCGAGCAGGCCTTAGTGCTCAGGGATGTGATTAAGCACAGGAAGCGGATTCAGGGAGTCGCGAGCTGCCTTGCAACTAGGCCTCCTCACAATCTGAAGAGCCTTTCATCAGTGGGGAGACACCTCTCCGGTTCCTGCAGCCATGTGTCCCGGGGACAGAAGACCCTCTCTTCTATCTCGAGGTATTATTAGGCTCTGCAAGACCCAAGTGCAGCAGCTTTGTCCCTAAAAGGAGGTTTGAAGTCCTTTATCACACAAATGGTATTTTCTTATCTGTGTGTCAGTAACCACACAGGGCTATGGTCCTTTAGAATTCTTCTAGAATCTGTGTGAACACAGCTTAGGAAAAATTAAACTAGAAGATAAATCTCAGGTATCATTTTTATTATTATTATCAAAACCTTCCTGTGCTCACAGACAAATAATAAACTGACTTCATTTGAAACTAACTTTCTAAGGTAAAAGTTACAGTCAGGAAGACTCAGATGAAGAATTAGGGTCTGGAGAGACAACTCCATGTCTGCTACATATCTCTTGCTCCTTTGGCCCTACTAAAATGTATGTAGGGGAAAGTTCTATGGTTAGGATCCCTGTAAATTGTCTGTGAAAGAGAAATTTCTAGAATTATCCAGAAGATAATCTGTAAATACATGAAAAGTTTAATTTTAATGCCCTTTGACCTGGAAAAATTACAGAAATATAGAATATTTATCAACCACAAAGAAGTCTAGAAACAACTTAATTACCAAAAAGGAAAAAAAAAACTCGAAGAAATTCCAGGCCACCATTAAATGTAATGATATTGTTATACAAAAATCAACATACAGGAGAAAAAAAAACAATTAAAAAACAGAACAATCAGCAACAAAATTTCACTTTTGGCAAGTTGGTTATGTGCATTTTAAAAATCTTGAAGAATATTCAGCATGGTAACAGTTATCACCCAGCTTCAGTGAGGGTGTTAGATACTTTAAAAATGATCTTGCCACAGTGTTTGAGTATTATGTCACGATCATTTACTTCTCATTTGGGGCAATGTAGTGCTAAACATTGATTTCGGAACTTCACAAGGCTCCACAGCAGGGCAGGTCCCCAGGCATCTAGGAATCAGGAGCCCTATGTACTCCGAATTTTCAGGCAGTCACTTTGCTTGGCTCTGCCAGGTGTCTGAGACCCAGAGACACATCCCAACACCAATCAGGTCAGACCATGGTCATGCCCCAAAGTGCTGAGGCTGAGCTTGGCTTCATGGAGAGAAGAGTGAAGGACCCAGGTACTGGGAACAGAGCTGCTGCCTTGTGGAGCACAGGACGCACCTGTGAGAGAAAGGTCACAGTGAGTTTCACCCCAGATCGTTGCCCGTAAAGCCAAATTCTCTTCCAGCTTAGAGAAAACCTTAAATGCCGCTGCTGAGCGAATGGACCCATTCCTCATTCGCTCTGTTCAGCCATCAGTGTGGATGCTGATTTCTAGATACGCTCAACGCAAACTCTGTGTTGTGGGCAGAAACACAGTGTCTTCTGCTGTGAAGATGCTGGGCATGCTAGACAGTACTGCAAAAACAAAACAAAACTTGATTTAAAATAATAAACCTTCCATTGATGTTGATAATAAAGGAGATGTATTACTAAGTCTTGTCTAATTTCAGAATCTCCAAAGTAATTCTTCGCATGTGGGGCTAGTTATTTTATAATAAATAAATGATTCCAGCTATTTCTCCTTAGACTCTGACAAGCTTTTTGGGTTTGGGGTTTGTTTTAACAACAGTAGCACCACACAGTTCCTCAGATGGCCCAGCCAGCAGGCGGGAGAGACTGACTGAACCTGGATACAGCACTGGATGCGGCAGCAACTCGCTGGTCGCCTGAATCCTAGATACACCATTGCTTCCAGGCCTCTGCTTTTCCCATCCTTTAGATCACCCCTGATGCCTGGGTCAGATTTTGGTTGGATGGAGTGAGAAGAGAGCACTCAGAGATAAAGTGAGCTAGGAATGCTGGCCATGTGAGGGCAGAGTGCAGAGAGGCAGCGGAAGGGTCTCAGTTTCACCAGCGCTTGTTAGGATTACAGTGCGCTGTCCCTGTGTAACAGGGGCCGTGGGCTGCATTCCTGTCACACGCTCAGGCAGTGCTGTGGTTTGTGCATGCAAATCCACAGAGCCCAGCTGCAGCCCTGGCAATCAGGATGGCTCTCCTCCCACATCAGGAGTGAACCTGAAGCTTAGGCAGTCACACAGCTGTAAGCGATGGAGTCTCACCCCAGTACCTCAACTCTTGACTGCTAACTGAACTCCAGCACCTCCCCTCACTCTCTTGAGTGGGAAACCGAGTCTAGGTGGCATAAGAAACTGGCTCAGGTCACAGAGCCAGTCAGCAATGGAGTGAGGACTTGGAAGCAGCTTTGTCTACACCAAAGCAAACCTTGCTTCAAAGACACGTGACATTTACCCGGATTGGGGCAGCGAAGGCAGTCTTCGCTGACCTAATCAGTGTTGTTTGTTTGTCCCTGGTCTGGAGCCTTAGTGACTGAGTTCAGCTATAAACCCAAAATATAGCCGAGAAAAAGGAAAAAAAATAAGAACCGTGAGTCTCTGTAACCAATAAGCCGCATAACCAAGGCAATTTTAGCCTGAGTTTCAAAGATGCAAGGCTGCATGCTGTAACTTCTATGGTATTTCCTTTCTAATTCTCTTTTGCTTTTTTAAATGCACCTTTATGTTGCTGACTTCACCAGCACCCATGCCAGCAAGGCAAGGAACAAATTCCTGGACCAGCAGTCAGCAGAAGGCCCTGGATTGAGTGTGACCCAAAAGATGGATGATTTTTTTAGCTTGTCGGATTTGCCTGGAAGGACCTTGTTGCACCCCCACCCCTCTATCAAGGGGAGTGAGCTGTGGGCCAGTTCGGAGCATAACTGCTGCTACACCTACCAGTCACCTGCACACCGAGGGAGCATGTAGGGCCCACAGGAGTCTGTCATGCATCATCTCCAGGAGTTCCCAGTTCTCCGTGGCGGGGTCACCCCATGCTCGGCTGCTGCCTCCTCAGCTCATCCCTGGTGCTGTCAGTGGTCTCTTTCTCCCTCTGCTTGGCTCACAGCAACCGGAGCTTCCAGCTTCCTTCCTCCCGGCACCACTGGGAGATGCCTCTCTAGGGAATGCAGACAGCTGTCCCAGGCTCCCCGATCCTCAGGGAGGCATGGAGGGGTCCAGAGAGTCACCCTCTCTAAGATCTTGCTACACTTTCTCACCAGGGTTCCCCTGGTGTTTTGGCTCAGTATCCACAAAAGCTCTTAAGCAAACAGTGTGCTCACTCAGTTCCTTTTGAAAAGCCCCAGATTTGTCTTGCCTGAGCTGGCAGGAGTGGGGCTTTCCCATGCATAAGCAAATGTAATTAAGTTTATGAGGCAGCCGTTAGCAGCACATATAAAGGATTTGCAGCTAGTGAACTGGAAGAGATGCATGAAGTCAGAAAGAGCGGGGTGACGCAGTCTACACCCGAGTCCACCACCAGCCTGTCTGTGGTTTATTCCTGCAAACCTTTACCTACCTGGAAACTGCTTGGCTGGACGTTGCCTTAGGCCATAGAGAAGGCTTGAGGTTGAAGACAAAGCTCTCTTGACCCACTTTGTTCTCCACACCGAGCCCAAGTGACAGCACGCGTTTGGAGAGCATGCTACACTCTAGGAACACCTGCAGGGCTGGTGCAGAGCAGACATGTGGCGTTTGTTGCCTGATGTTACGGAAATGATAGCAGCAGCAGCAACTCAAAATCTTGGCATCTATGCTATGCCTCCTCTTCTGCCAGTTACTACACCAAGGATCTAGATTCTCTTCCCTCGCAGTCACCCCACAACATGCATGATGCAGGCTCTGCTTTGTAAGTGGAAACCACTGAAGCTCAAAGCATGCTAGGCTAAATGTTTTAAGATCACATCTCGTCTTGAAGAATAAAAATAAGATCAAAGGTTCTACTTCTAGCTCCCCAGAGAGTCACCCTATTTGGGGAGAGGGAACAGGTCTGGGAGACTCAACCTAGGGAGCAGTGAACTACACTCCCAGCCCCTTACAGGGTTTGAGAAAGAGTCTCACCAAGTTGCGTAGGTGGGGCTCACATTTGCTATTTTCCTGCCTCAGCCTCCTGAGCAGTTGGGATTTCGGCCCTGCTCTACTCAACAGTTGGGACCATCAAGTGAAAGAAGGTGCTGCCCTGGGGATCTGTCCCTTCAGTGACCCATCTGTCAGTGCCATTAAAGTGGCTAGAAAGGCATAAAAATGAGCCTTTGGTGGTCTGCTAGTATGAGCCCAGGCAGACTGGTCCTATCTCCATGACCTGTACAGCCTCATACAAAGCTCTGAGTCTTCTCTGGCATCTGTATAACCGGCCCCTGGAAGGACTGTTGTGTTCCTGCAGCACTCACAAGGCTACTGCCTGCCAGCCTTCCAAGGAGGATTTCTGAGGACCCTCAGTTTCTCGGAGCCTGTGAGTCTGTGATGTCCAGGACAAGACCCTGACTTGAGAAATCTCCTGTACTGACACATCTTTCCTGTGTCCCAAATATCCAGAAACATATGTAGGAGCCTTGATAAAGGAAAGAGCTTCCTGAGATGAGGAACTTTTCAGAAGGAGCCTAAAAATAAAATGTGCATAAACCCAGGTGATTGACCAATGCTTCTCAGCGTCCCCTGAAAAGCAGCGCTAACTGCAGAATCTCAGGCAAGAGGTGGTTTTGAGGCTGAGGCTCCTTTAAATCACCTACAACTGCTGGTTGCTGTGACAGATATCAGATGGTGTGTGCATGTGGAAGGGTGGCAGAGTCTCGGGATCAAGGTCTTCCAGAGCTCCGAGGAAGGAAAAGTGGACTCAGAGATGCACAGACTGCAGGGGAGAAGCATAGCCACCAGAACACAGCTGTGCTCCACTGACCGTGAACAGGGCTTCACCCTGCAGGGCGACTGAACCTTCTGTTTGACCTGCAAAAGCAGGGCTGTAAGGTCCACCAGCGCTGTCTCATTAGAGTTTGTGTTGATGAAGGTGGTGGGTGAGGGTTAGGGAACGCCTTTCTCCCTCCGCCCTCACAGGTTGGCCACTAGAAACTTCACTCCCTGGCCATTCTTGGTGGAGCCTGGGCTCCCATCCCCTCCCACCAAGATGTGACACTTCTGCCTTCTCGTGCCCCAGCCATGCTCGGGACATCATGCATAGGGGAGGTCCAACTGGTTTTGATTGGGCATCATATGTGACCCTCACTCTCTCCTTCATGGCCATCTGGACTCAGCCTTAGCCACGCTCTCCAGAACCTTCTCTTCTTCCAGCCTCGGCTCCCACAGACCCCTCGTGGACAGCAGTCATCCTTATTTATTTATTATTTATTATTTTTGTTTAACACTAAAAAGACACAAATTACAAACAAAAAGCAATACAGACAGACAACAAGAAACCAAATACAGTAACAGTACAGGTTTACAAAACAAGATGACAGGAATTTGACAGTGGTTGTAATAATGCATATTGTTACCTTCAGGAGGGTTGCTTGGATTAACAGATACAGATACTAAAGTTGACCTAAACATGTGAGTGTTAGCTGTTCTTTCCAACAACTGCTAAAAGGACAGCAGTCTCCTGAGCACCAAGGCTGACCAGAGGCTGACGCAGGACTGGAGGCCAGCAGGAGGGCATCTGCCCCTGCCTGGCTTCCCAGCTCCTGTCCTGCTGCACCTCTCCAGGGCTTCCTGGGGTGGTAGCTGTGGACCTTGTCCTCTGTGTAGTCTATGCCACCCTGTCCTCAGCTCTGGGGTGACTTTCTGCAAGCGTCCCCCCAGCACTCCAGCCCAGCTGGCCCAGATGTCCCTTGCACCCCCAGAATTACTATTTATATGCCCCCAGCTGCCAGGAAGGCATAGCCCCCTGGGGTGAGCTCACTTCAGGGCACCCTGCCATTCACAAAGAAAAGCCAGCTCTCCGGCTGGAGTTACTATGCGCTGCTGTGCTCCCTCTGGGTCCTCTGGGAGAACGGAAGCCCAAGAGAGGCTGACTGGGGCCCGTGGTTTTGATCTGTAGCCTTCAAGGCTGATCAGGTCTTATTTTCGTAGAAACGGTGTCATTCGGTGCACTGTCTGCACAAGGTCCTTTGGATACTGAGCAAAGAAGGCCAAATCGCCCTAAGTTTCCTGGGCACCAACTGCCAACCTCCCAAGTCACCCCCAGGAAACACAAAATCGTATACTGAGTATCCACAGCATCCCCTTGGTGTTGACTTAAATACCACCCTGGGCTTCTTGGGAACTCATTTCAAATAACTTCCGTTACCCAGTTGGTGTGAGCCCTCTCTGAGTTTTCCATGAGGAAGCGCTCAGAACCAGGGACTCATCCCCCAGCCTGGCAATCGGTCAGTGAAGTTTATGAACTTCAACTATGAGGTCATGGGCTTGTATTTTAACATAAAAACCCCCAAATCTACTTACACAATTGTGGTTTCCTTAGAATATATATGTGGCTCCCTTCATAATTAGTTTCTGAGACAGCCTTGTCTTTTGGTTAAAAACAGTCTCAAGACTGATTTTTAAGGATCCTTCTTTGAAATGGTTTAGGGAAGAGGTGATGCAGGGAGATGAAGAGCTTTATCTATTAAAAGAAAACAGTGAGACAGTGAAATAATCACCCTCCCTCTGTGCTAGCTTATGAACAGGCTCGTGGGAACCCCAAGAGAGGTTCGAAGTATATTTTGAGGTATGGCCTCATTTTGAATAAACAGGGCTACTGTAAGAAACATAGGCACTGGCTGAGCAAAAGTAAGATTTAAAACTAGTTCACTTCTTTTTATTCACCACTGTCATGAAAGACGGATGCCTGGTTCTTGGTGCTACACTCTTGATTGCATGGTAAAGAATACAAGGTAAAAATAAATTAAAATAACTACCCCCAAATGCTAAATTGAACGTTGTGGCTTGGCATGAAGTGGACTGCTTATGTTTAAAAACTTATTTTTAAAAGAAAAGTAATTTAGAGGAGGGAGAAACCACTGAAGAAAGAGGGTTTTTTGCCAGCTCTCGCTCTGACCATCTAGATGCCTGGCAGCCAAATGTTCCGCAAACGCCAGGAGCCGGGCAGCAGCCAGCTGGGCAGCCAAGACACGCATGCGCAGATAGACACCCGGGTCCCTCGGCAAGCTTGTTTACCCTCTGCCCCAAGGCAGGCAGGTGCAGGCGGAGGGATGCGACTCCCTTGCAGGACAGGAGGGGCTGGTGCTGACTCCAGGCTCCATGGGACCCGGGCATGCTGTGTGCCCCTTCTGTGCACCCCCGAGATTGGTACCCCACATTCCTGGGGCCGATGGTCACTGGAGAGGCAGCCTTTAATGACGCCCATGGTCTCATTGAGCTCGGCAAGGTCCTTACCGAAAGCTTCCCCACCCCAGCTTCCTGTCAGCTCTTTAATAAGAAACTTTTGAAAAAGAAATACATTTGAGTGCTCTAGGTAAATGAGCAGAACCTTACAGCATTTTTATTAAAAGAGTGAAAATAAACATCAATCAGCTCTCTGCTGTAGAAATTGATCTAGACTTGTGCATCTCATCTGGGGAGGAGAGGGTGGGTGTCGAGGAGGGGTGGGTTCTGCATAGAGGAGACATTGGGCAGTTGTCACTGTTGGGTTGGCATCTAGTGGATAAACCCCCGATACACAGAACAACCCCCTCACTAACAGAATTATTCAGATCAAAGGGTCAGAAGCACTGAAAGCTAGACACCCCAGTCTAGACTGGGGCAGGACCCTGACTAACAGATACAGTGGTGCATTTGTGATTATGGGAGGGATTTTAGGGTTTGCCCCTTCTATCAGAGGCAAAACTTTGTCAGAAGCTCATAGCTCCCTGAGAAATGCTTGTGAACCTAACTCCACAGGCAGCTTCTCTCCTGGTGCTTATCTCCACCCCCCCCCCCTCACCCCACTCTCCCCGGGCACCGAAATACCCTGCAGGCAAGGACATCCCTGAGTTTAAGACAAAAACAGTGCAGCGGTTGCCTGAAGTTGTGTTCCTGGAGAAGGAAGGAGCTGGGAGCAGCAGAAATAGTAGGATGCCTGGTCTATCAAGGCAGACCGCACAAGCCTGTCCTACAAGCCCGGGTCAGAGGCCAGGCGCCTGCTAGGAATGTCAGAGAAAGCCCCAGAGCACGCTAAATTGTCCTGCACAAAAAGACCCAATCAGCATGGTCACCTGTGAGGCAAGGCTTAGATCGGAAAGATTAGGCGGCAACAGAGAGACCAAGTTGCAGATAAGCCTGCTTATTGTCAGATTTACAAATATTACCCAAAC